TCAGAAAGAAAATTCCCTGTGCAACATGGAAGAAATTACCAAGTAAAATTGTAGCTTTGTATCAAAGCTGCTAAAACTCCTCTGAAAAACAGCATTGAGAAAATTAAATGGACATAAATATGCATAAATAATTCAATACATTTTAAAGTCAGTCAGGGTATATAACCTATTAAAGAATGGGGATAAGATCTGTTTACATTTTAAATTAAGCTTTGCACAGAATGTTTTCTACAATTTCACAAGTTTATTTAAACAAATAGTAATGTTTACTAAAAGTATACAATGGGAAAAATTTTAATATAATTCTCTTATAATCATTATTCATACAGATACAACTCATCTTATGTATGAGATGTATCCCTGAAATATGCATATAAACAGATATCTGAAAACTGAATCACACTGTAAACATTATGGAAGATTTTAATGCCAACAGGAATGAGATACTTTTATACAGTAAATAATTACTACGACTTTATACAGGCAAAGCACAATTTTCAAAAATTTAACATGCTTATTTCACTTAAAATAATGTAGTTAATTCCAAACTCACTTATTTCCATCAATATTTAATGAAAACAATTAGTACTAGAATTCCATTTTCTTGAACTTGAATGACTTTTATAGCATTTGAACTACCACTGCTTTATAAGTTGTAAGATATGTGGCTGAGTTAAGTTAGAGCTTCCCACTTCTTCCCAGCCCTGCTAATTACACTACTATTCATTTTATATCAACTGTGTGTCCTTCAGTTCTTGTTGAAAGCATTCTTTATAAATATTCTTTCTTCAGCCCAAAGTACAAATCTCTCACAAAATCTCACAAAATATAAAAAAGGGTATCATTACTACAATTAAAGGCACTAAATCATCAAAATTATTTTGTATGCCTTTATATAGTGGATATGGACATATATGGAAAGACTAATGAAAGCAACTCCTTTAGTTTTAAGGCCCTCTACCAGCTTTAGAAATCTTAACAAAATAAAAAGAGGAAAATTACTATTGGTCATCTAGTGGGGCATAAAAACAGCCTTATTTATCATATACAGAATATAAATTACAAAGGCATTAGTTAAAACAGTATTTTACCCACCCAACAAAAGAATTTGGCAAGTTCCTTAGAAATAGCTGTAACATATAAATAAAATTCAATTTCAATAAAGGATTCTATTTAGCTGGCAAATAATGCATTACGGCATTTTGCTGATATTATTTTAATGAATTCTCACAATGAAAGAAACCATGTAGCCTACACTAAAAAAAAAAAAACAAAACCTGCTTTGGATGCTTTCCTCTGGTCATGTAAGATTTTTAGTGGGATAGAGAACCAATACAAGAGGCAGAGAATAGAGGCAGTTGGCAAAGAACAGTGGTAGGAGGAGGCAACAGGGTTACTGGAGCTCTTGTTCAGGTACAGTGATGGCAGGAGACAGCGGTACAGCCTCAGCAGGAATATCCAAACAGCTTCCCACTTATCACCATTAGAAACTGTTCTATCAGGACAGAAACACACACCCTGTCCACAATCCATCTTACTACCACTGGATCTTGAAGAGCCCACCAAAAAATCCTCTAAAAAACAACAACAACAAAAATCTTAAGTGCTTAAATAGAAGTCCAAACTGAAGGACTCAGTTTAAAAAATTTTTTAAAAGGTAATTCTTCTAGAACTCTAGAGAGGTTATTTATTTAAATGTAACTTATTTTGTGAAGCAAATTTTACATTTTAACAAATTAAATGAGTGAAAATGAGATTTTTACTTTTATGTACATAAAATTCAAGTAATGGAAAGAGAGTAGGATATAATAGCCTAAGAATTAAAGAGCTGGTAAGTTTTTATTATTGACCTACTGCATGACTCACTATACAGATCAAACTAATACAAAGGCCTCAAATATTCGATTAGAGAGTTTTACAGATTCCAGTGAAATAGTACAGGGTCTTAGAATAAATATGATACCTAAATGTAAGTAAGGCTTTCCTTTTTCTAAAAAGGCAAAACAAAACAAAACCAAAAACCTCATAAAACCACCATTTATCCATTTATTATTCCTCATAGTCAATGGATCACCTGTGAAATTCTGCTATTCATTAGCAGATCTGGGCCAGATTTAGCTGCTCTTGGTTATACTCAGTCATATGTTTGTGGTCACCTGAGGGCTGGCTTAAGATGGCCACTGATGGTACAATCTAGCCATCCTCCATGTGCTAGTCACATCTCTCTGCAGGTTAACCTGGCCATGTTAGGGACATGTTCTCAAGGTGATCCCAGAGAAGCAGAAGAAACAGATGATTCTAGAACTGGGCCAGAAAACATAAGGGTTAAGACCGGAGCACTCTGTCAGACCAGCAAGCATGGAAGTTATCAAAGACCATACTAAGATTGTATCAAAATTACTCAGGAGCAACTTAAAGAAGCTCCCTGTGGTCAAAAGCAGGAACAAATGAATGAACATCAATGAAAATAATAACTGTAACGGACTGAAACGTCAAATACATTTAAGTCTGTGAGTTCATAAAGATGTTTTTTAAAAAGTTAGGTCCCATTGGGAGATGTTAGGAATGAGTCACTGTTTTGAAAAACGATGTAAAAAGAGAGAAAAAAAAATCAAACTTTTATTCTGCCTTTCCAAAGCAATGTACCACTGAATCATCTAGTAGTAGATGAAGGGAAGTATCTCATTATAGAAGGACTCTCAAAAATAAATGAAATTAAAGTGAGACAATGTAAATATCAAGATTTTGCAATGATTATACAACCACTGATTCCAAGCATTAAATATCAATGGCAACTAACATCACAAAAAGAGAAGTAAAGAAGACGTTACATGCCCTCTGAGAGAAAAATGCAAAAACTTCCTATGAAACAGTCTTGCCACAAATATCCAATCTGAATTCTATCAACCTCTGGAAACAACTACCAATTTATAATAAATATAGAAGATGGAGAAACCTGTTAGACTATTCCACAGGGATGCAATAAGCAAAATCCAGACTGTAAGAAAAGATATAGGACAAACCATGTTTCTTCAACTGATAAATTGGAAAGAAACAAAAGATAAAAGAGAAACCTACAGAAGAGACTTAAGACTTAATCAGTATCAATTGATTGAACTGTGTGGTCCTTATATGGATCCTGATATGAATAAACACACGAAAAAAAGTTATGGAAGTTGTAATTCAATTGGAAATGTGATACTTACTAGGCTTTTGATGATATTAAGAAATTACTGCTAATATTTTAGGTTTGCTATAATGGTATTACAGTTACGCTTTAAAAGGGACTTTATTCTTTTTTAAAGATTTTATTTATTTATTCATGAGACAGAGAGAGAGAGAGAAGCAGAGGCAGAGGGAGAAGCAGGCTTCCCGCAAAGTAGGGAGCCCGATGTGGGATTCAATCCCAGGACCCTGGGATCATGACCTGAGCTGAAGGGAAACGCTTAACTGACTGAGCCACCCAAGTGCCCTAAAAACAGACCTTAAAAAGAAGTACATATTGAAATATTTATGAACAGAATGATATGATGTCTAGGATTTGCTTCAAAGTAATATGAGAAAGCAGAAAGACAATGAATATAAAAATAAAATAAGAGAAACCATGAGTTGATAATTACTGAGCAGAGTTACTAGTTGATGTACATTTATTGTGCTAATTTGTCTACTTTTGTATATGCTTGAAATTCTCTATGACAAAAAGCTAAAAAGAAATATAACCTTATTTTGTATTATAAAATGATGATTCAGGAATATTCTATTTATTGATAATCTAGGACAGAAAAGGAAAGTTCGTAAAGAACCTAGATATGGGAAAATACTTAGAAAGTTAACAAACAGTGTGATGTGTGTGTATGAGTATACAAATATAAAATGTAATCACTCCTTATCGATATGTGGTAAATAAGGAGTAATTTTTGCTTATTTATATGTTTTACATTTAAACAATCGAATACAGTTAATATTTTATAACTTGGGGAAAATGTCATATATACATCATTTAACACATTTAGTGAATGGCAGGCCCTGTGCTAGACATGAGAGAAATAAGGGTGAACAAGAACTCTCTCATATGGAGTTCAGTGGGGGAGACAAAAAGAATCAAAACAAGTAGGTAGAAGGATATATAAAATGCAGGACTCTGATGGACTCTGAGAAGCAAACTGAGGGTTCTAGAGGGGAGGGGGGTGGGGGGATGGATCGGCCTGGTGATGGGTATTAAAGAGGGCACATTCTGCGTAGAGCACTGGGTGTTATGCACAAACAATGAATCATGGAACACTACATCAAAAACTAATGATGTGTAATGTATGGTGATTAACATAACATAATAAAATTAAAAAAAAATAGGATATTTCGGGTGCTATGAAAGAAACAGAGCAGAATATCAGGGAAGAAAAATAGTAATGGTCTCCATGAGGAGGTGACCTACAGGACTAGAGTCAGCCACTCACCAAGTAGGACATGAACATTAAAGGCAGAGAAAGCAAAACTCTGAATTGGGAAAGAATAATTCTAAGTCAAAAAAGGTTTAATCACTGGATTTATATCATTCGAAATCAGATTTAAAGAAGATTCATATAGTGGTAGTGACGGATGGATTAGACGAGGGTTAAGAGGTGGCAAAGAGATCAGATAGGACGCCTGGAGTAGTGTCCAGGTACTTGTCTTTTTTACCCAAGTGCTGGTGAGAAATGGCCACGATAGTAACACCCTTTAAAGAAGTTAATATTTTAGAATAATGTCTTCCTAAAAAAGAATACAACTGTCAATACTTTTAACTGTTACCAACTTTATCATGCTTTTTTCAAAAATCTTCAATTTAAATTCTAAATTCAAGTTTAAATTTCACTTTGAGAAAATGAAAATACATTTAAAAGATAAATATATTAAAGTTAGTTATATTAAAGATTTTTAAAAAGTAATGTGAAAATTAAAGATAATCAAATTCATTGTGATGTGCAAGATAACTGTATTTCAGATGATTCCTGAAAAATTACCTTGGACAAATCTCTGAAGTTGCTTGGCAAGGTAAGATCCAGTTCTTCTGATTCATAATTAGTAATGACCCAGGGAAACACTGGATACTGATTTAAGTCATTATAACTCCGTCCTGAGAGAGAAAAAAAAGTCATTCCATTTAGAATAATAAAACGAAATGATAAACAGACTCAGGAATAGCATTTGCTAAAAATAATAAGAACAACTTCACTTTTTGAGTGCCAGACCTTGTTCTCAGTGCTATACATATATTATTTGTTTTGACCCTATAATAAAACTATGAAATTATCATCCCCATTTTATGGATGAAAAATTGAAACACAAAAGATTAAAAACTTGTCCCAAACCATCTAACTAGTAATGTTCAAATCATATTCAAATCCAGATACTCTGGCCCCAAGTTTATGTTCTAATAAAATATACTTGGCTATTTTTTATTACTTGAAAGCCTGTACCAAATAAAATACTTTTTATTAATACTCAAAAATTTTTTCAATTCTCATAGAGTTTTTCCAAACAAGAATCCTTTCTCTGCAATTAATTAAACAACCAATCAACCAACTAATCAACCAAATACAAGTGACTTAACCTCTATGGACATTCATTCAACACCTGTAAAATTAGGGAGTTGTACTAAATAACTCTAAACTTCTGTGACAGCTTTCAAATTTTATGATCCTCTGATTATAATGCAAAGCCTCATCAATGTTGGCTTCCCCCACTCCTAAATGCTGCCACATACTCTCCTACACTTCATTTAAACTAATGACATTCAATGAGACATTTAGGTCTATTAAAAAATATGAATAAAACAAAGGATGAGATAGCCCTTCTATATACATATATATATATGCAGCAGTTTTCTGGATATCACCACTTTAGGGAGGCGGCATAGTGGATGAAATCATTGCCTCAAGAGTTAAAACGCTAGCATTTGAATCCCAGTTCCACTATTTACTAGTCTATACCTTTAGTTAGATTTAATGTGAACAGACTCTTATGGCTAAAATATAAGGGGGACAAGTATATTAATCTTGTTTGAATTCCTTTATATTGTATATTCTATCATGTTTTCTCTTCCTCAAATATATACTGATGTCATATCAATATGCAGCAAAATATTACAGTTGTTCTTCAAACAGATCCTTGGTATCTGAGTCTTCCTTTTGATTTGATGTTTTTAACTTTATTTCACTCTATCCATCTTGAAGACTATTGAAGTAACAGAGTTCTTCCTTGACTGACCTGGAAACAGTCTTAACAAAACATGAATAACTAGGAGAATTTTAATTCAGAGGTCATTATGTCACTACATATTTCTGTAAGTTTTAATTCTCCCAGAAAAAAGTAACGAAATTTAGCAGCAAAACCACTCTATCTTGATTCCCTTCACCCATCTCTCTCCTTCTGATTGAGACATTAGTAAACATGTTAGTAAAATCATCATTTTGCCCCCTCTGCTTAAATGATCAAATTTATTATATGTACAAAAAAAGTATGCACCAGCTCATTGTAAATAGACTTGTATTAATAAAGTTAAACTCTCTATATAGTTATTGAATGCCTACTGACTGTCTTTTGGGAAATGTGCCATGGTATCATGAGAACCTATATGTATCACAGATAATAGTGTAAAAGAAATCTTAAGTAATGTGAGATTCAACCCCACCTTCTAGTGTATTTAAAACTATCCAAAACAAATTACTGGTTCTATTCTTTAAAAAGAATATTTGAAGTATACATCTAAAAGACACTTTAAGCACAATAAAAGCTATCTGAGGTAGACCATTTCATAAATGTTGCTCCCTAATTATTACTGTGCATTTAATCTATGTGTTAATTGACTTATCACATGCTAAATATATCCATTAAGCTTGTTATGTAAGTTTTCCATTTCTCACTACTACTTAAAAATCCTTTCAGTCACTAATACTTACATAATCTCTATTTAGTTCAACATAATTATTCAAACTTTCTTCATTCCTTTCCCTCAACTGGCTGTGAGTTGAACATCTCCTTAACTGATAGACTTTTCAATGTGAACACTTAACTTCCAATTTTCATAATAGTCCCTCTCTCTCTTCCCCTCTTTTCTAACAGTGCCTTTATTCTTCGTGAGCTGTAATTCTTTCACCTGAGCTCTTGAGCCTGTCTCACTCATAACTTGCATTGTTACTTTTCCTCTCTGTCCCTCTTTCATGGTTTCTCACCTTTGCCTTAATCCATTCCCTTTCACTATTACACAAGAAAACTGTAATAACACATCTAATGTTCTCATTTCATCTCCAACCATTCAGATCTTACAATCAACCTTTTTTGTTTGCTTTTAAAATGAACCCCTAGAAAGTAGCCAACAAGTTCCCAAATGCCCAAGCTAGAGGCATGGCCTGTACTCATTCTTAAGTCTCCCGTACCTCTCTGTAACATTTGGTACAGGGAACCAACACCTTTCTCTCTCTCTTTCCCCTTGCATCTCAAGACATTTGCTATATACCTCAGTTTTCCTTCTCCTCAGTCTAAAAACTCTGGGATCACTCATTCTCTTCTCTCAAAGCTTTACTCAATTTCCCTTTGTCTTCTTGTCATTGACAAGAACATTCACCAGACCTTGTCTCACTGCTTTCTGTATTATCTGGCTTGGTAATCTCAACTCATTCTTGGTGATTTCTAATCTATGCAGATGAAATCCAATGTCCTATCTCCAAATTCCAAATACCTTATTTGACCTATACTTCTAAAAATTCTTTTTGATATCTTAACTTGGATGTCTATCTGCACAGTAAAATCATCTTCTCTCCCTAGACCATTTTTTCTGACTTCCTTTCTGTTAATGGCACCACCATTTCCCCAGTGATTCAGGCCAGAAGCCTGGAAACCTTTTCTGATACTTCTTTTCTCATTTACCCCCTACATTCAGTCAGCCCGATGTCAAATGGTTTGTACCTTATAAATCTTATGTCATTTAATCTATAAATTCCCACTATCGCCCCTCTAATGCAAGCTCCCGTTATTTTTTTATATATAATTCCTAACTGCTCTCTGCCTAGTTTCTCTCCACTCCAGTTTATCCTTTATTCTGCCTCCAAGTTAACTTCCCATATAATTCTAGTATCACTTAATTGCTGAAAAACTTTCAGCAGTTGCGCTGTGAATTGACTGCTCACTCCTCAAACTGACAGAAAATCTTCCACAATGTGTCTCCACACTACCTTTTAAGCTTTCTTTCTCATTATACCTTTATGAAAATATACTTTATGTGTGCACATACATATACACATGTATAAACTATACCATTAATCGTTCTCTAGCTATATCTTACATTTTCCCACCTTTGTATGTTTCCTTATGTCTTCAGTTTTACATGGCATGACTTCTACTCTTTCAACTACCACCTCTACTAAAGTAATACCCGTCCTTATACGAACATGAAATCCTTCCTGATTTTTTCCTTACTCCCAACAACTGGATGAATATAATTTCCCTCTCTGACCTTTTAATCCCCATAGTACTTTGTATTTCTTTTATTGAATCTATACTCCTTCCTCTAGAATCATGTAAATGTTTATATTCATACTTAAAATAACTTCTCTGAGAGCAAGCAACATGCCTTATTCTCTCTGTACCTCCTCTGTGCCTCAAATATAAACTGTGCCAGTTTGTCAAACTGAATCTCAAATGTCACACAAACACATTCCCTGTTTTCTTTATTCTAGTTACCACAAATGAAAAGTAATGACACATTTCTATACTTTACTCTCTTTTTTAAAATTTATTTTTATTTGTTTGGATTCAATTAGCCAACATATGGTACATCCTTAGTTTTTGGTGTACTTTTCAATTCATTAGTTTGTATTCAATACTTCCGTGAAACACCCAGTGCTCATCACATCACATGCCCTCCTTAATGCCCATCACCAAATTACCCCACCCCCCACCCACTTCCCTTTCCACAACCCTCAGTTCTTTACTCTCTTTCAAAAAAGAGAACAGCTTCAATGGGTGACGTTCAGTAATACTTTGTGATTACAGACCCTGTATAGAGCCATTTACTCTTTTTTTCCTCAAAGATTTTATTTATTTGAGAGAGAGAGAATGAGAGAGAGAGCACATGAGAGGGGCGAGGGTCAGAGGGAGAAGCAGACTCCCTGCCGAGCAGGGAGCCCGATGCGGGACTCGATCCCGGGACTCCAGGATCATGACCTGAGCCGAAGGCAGTCGCTTAACCAACTGAGCCACCCAGGTGCCCCTAGAGCCATTTACTCTTTAGATTTTCACATATGGGTCATAATATAAGTATTCCTTTACTTAATATTTTACCCAGTTTTCTTTTTTCAATGTTACATTTTTGTTTCATCATATAATACAATTCTGATTAAGTTATTAACAGGTTAAGATTTTATATCGTTTTTATTTCTACTAGCCCATAATGAATCCATTCTTACTATATTAAATAGTTATACATTTTCATTTTAGATTTTTGGAAAAAAGTGTGTATACCCATTTTTAATTTTCTCAAGTAGCCAGCTGTTCGTATGTAAAACTGTAAACTCTACTATCAAAATTACTCTTGATAAGGTACTCATGTAGTAATAATGAAAATAAAAGTAAGCTATTTATACTAGTACTCAAAATAATCTAATATCAATTAATAATTTATCATTTGAAAAAAATTATTTATCATTTGAAATAAGATTACCTGCTATTGTGTTGAGAAACATCAAATACTCAAAATTTGAAATCTCTCTATGCTGCCATCGCTGGGTCATATTAGAAGCTTTAAAAAGTTGACGTGGACTAGCTAATGAGATACGCCTGCAAAAAACAGAATTTGATGTAGAATCAATTTATTTACAACATAATAATAAATTATGAATATCTGTGTCTATTCTGTATATTTGACATACAAAATAATATCTGTATATTCTGAAAAGTGCTACTCATGTTTTACTAATGAATACATGAACTGTTTCAATGCACAATTAATGGTTAAATGATTTGGCCTAGCTACAGGTCCATGATACATATTCTATTCCTTAAAGTAAGCTGTCATTACAATGCCATTATAATATCTAGGTTCCATAAATGTTGATTAACAATAGTATAATTAATAACACTGATTTACTGATATAAAAGGAATTATAGTAACTGAGAAAGACATATAAAATTTTATTCACATCTTTTTTGTGTGTGTGGGTTTTTTTCTGTGTATTCACATCTTTATCAATTTTAATAGTTCTCTTAAAGACAACACAATTGTACATTATAATTTAAATATTATGTTTATATACCCTTTAAAACAGGGGAAAGAAGGATTCTAAACTCTTTACGTGTCTATTCATGGGGTGGGACAAAGGTAAGAGAAACTATTATTTTTTTATGCAGCTTAATAATAGATGACCAAGTTTTCTGTGTTTTTTTAATGCAATGTAAATAACAAAAGATGTAACTGACTACTACTAGCTAACAGTGGAAAATAGGTGGCAGGGTTAATATATTCAGAGCCTAGAATCTCAGAGAAGTACGCTGTCACAGTTCTTCCTACCACCAAGGACAAGGTAACTATATTTTTTAAGTTTTATTTTCAAAGGTATAATTTACATACTATAAAATTTACCCATCTCAGTGTACTATTTAATTATTTATTAATATATTTCTAGAGTTGTGTGATTAGCACCACAATGTACTTCAGAACAATTCACCACCAAAAAAACTTGCCTTGTGCCTATTTACAGTTAATCCCCATTCCTATCCTCAGCTCCAGGCAACTATCAATCTGCTTTCTGTCTCTATAAACTTGCCTTTTCTGGACATTTCAGATAAATGGAATCATACATCATGAAGGCTTCTGCATCAGGCTTCTTCACTAACCATAATGTTTTTGAGATTCATTAATGTGGCAGCATGTTATCAGTAATTCATTTATTTGATTACTGACTAGTATTCCAGTGTATGAATATAGAATATATCACATTTTTAAAATCCATACACCAGGAGTACCTGGATGGTTCAGTAGGTTAAGCCTCTGACTCTTGCTTTTGGCTCAGGTCATGGTCTCAGGGTCATGAGACTGAGTCTTGTGTTGTGCTCTGCCCTCAGCGGGGAGTCTGCTTGGGATTCTGTCTCTCCAGACAGACTGGTGAAAAATCCATTCACCAGTTGATAGATATTTAAATTGTTTCTGGTTTTGGATTATTATTATTATTCCAGTTTATATTACTATGAATATTCACAAACATGTCTTTGTATGAACATATGTTTTCATTTCTTTTGGGCAGAATCCTAAGGGTGGAATTGCTGGGTTGTAGGTTGCATTTACATTTAACTTCTTGAGAAACTGCCATATTGTCTTCCATTCCAACAAGCAATATATGAGGTTCCAATTTTCCACATCTCTGCCAATACTTGCCCCTATAATGTATTTTTTACTATAGACATTCCAGCAAGTGTAAAATGGTATCTTATTATAGTTTTAATATACATTGTTGAGTAACTTTTCATGGCTTATTAACCATTTGTGTATCTTCTTTGGTAAAATGACTATTCAAATCTTTTCTTCCTTCATTAATTGAGGTTTTTGTCTTATTATGGAGTTGTAAGAATTTTGCATACATTCTGAATACAAGACCTTTATCAGATATATTATGTACAAATATTTTTCTCAGTCTAGGACTTCTCTTTTCATATACTTAGTAGTGTCCTTTAAAGCATGAAAGTTTTAAATTTTTATTAAATCTAATTTCTCAATTTTTTTTCTTTTATGGATTATGCTTTTGGTGTCACATCTCAGAACTCTTTGCCTACTCCAGGGTCTTGAAGTTTTTCTCCCACATTTTGAAAAATTTTTTAGTTTTAGTTTTAAAATATAGGCCGATGACACATTTTGAGCTAATTTTTTTATGAATACTGTGTGATAAATGCTGAAGTTCATTTTCTTGCATGTGACTATTCAAATGTCTCAGCACTACTTGTTCAAGGATTATCTTTTCCTCATTGAATTGTGTTAGCCATTTGTTGAAAAAAATGGATTTTATTTCTGTATTCTCAATTTTGTTCCATTGATTTATATGCCTATCCTTTTATAAATATCAGACCATCTTAATTACTGAGGCTTTATAGTTAGTTTTGAAATCAGGTAGTTGGAGTCCTCTAACTTTGTTCTTTTTCAACATTGTTTCAGCAATTCCAGATCCACTGCATTTCAGCTTCTCAATATCTCCAGGAAAGTCAGCTAGATTTTGATAGGGATTGCCATCGACTTTATAGATCTGGAGAGAACTGACATCTTAATCATACTGAATCTTCGGATCCATGAGTATGGAATGCCTCCATTTATTTGATGTCTGTCTTTAATTTCTATCAGGCATATTTGATAGTTTTCAATATACAAATCTTACACTTCTTCTGTCATCTAGGAATGAAGACTTTTTTTCCCCCCTTTCTAATCTGGATGCCTTTAATTTCTCCCTCCTTCTCTTCCTTTCTTACTGCAGAGGCTGAAATCTCTAATATACTGTTGATAGAAATGGTGAGATGGGGGACATTTTAGCCTTCCTGATCTTAGGGGAAAGGATTCAGTCTTTCAACATTAAGTGTTTCTCAATTAGTATACCTTTCTTTTGAGCTCTAACTTCCTATTCAACATTTCAGTCTGGACATCACTCAGGGGTTTCAATTTCAATAGATCTAAAACTAAACTCATATTCTGTCCACCCACCTCGTCGCCACAATCCTGACCTCAACCTTGGGAGGACAGATACACAACTATTCCTTCTCCAGTGTTCCCAATCTCAGTAAATGCTATTCAGCAGCTTAAACTAAAACTTGACAAAACACACTAGACACCTCCCTCCCTTATCATCCTCCATTATCTAACTAATCTCCAAGTCACACAGATTGTATGTCCTCAAAATTTCTAAACAAGGATGTCTCTTTTTAACTGCACTATCAGCACCACATATCATCTGGATTTCTACAATAAACTGCTGTCTCTGAACTGACACCCTCTTCCCAGAATCAGTAAGTTCCAACGATATTTGCCTTCAACATTTCTTAAAATAATGAAACCTCACCTTATTTCAGGACCTTTGCATATGATATTTCTGCTTTCAAAGGTAAGCTGATTCTATTCTTTAAAATAAAACTTAAAAGTAATATAGGAAGACATTTCTGACCATGTAATTCAAAGCCTCTTATCTCTACTCCACTAATCACTACTCTAACACCCTTATTTATATCCCTCCCGTCACTTACAGAGTTATTTATCTTGTTTGCATATTTGTTAAAACATACATGGGTAAGATGATATCTATCTTGTACACTGCTGGATAACAGACACACTGTTAGTGTTTGAGATCTATTTAAATTGCTGATTTAATGAATTAACCTACACCTAGCTTTCATTAACTGAGGGAAATCATTACAAAGATTTCCCAAGTATGATAACACTAATGAATAAAACTTAAAAAATAGAGATAATTAGTAGAAAAAAAGACGTTTTTATTAAGATAAAGAAATTTACTATACCATTCTGAGGTGCTTCATTCTGAACCTGAAATTCCTCATTAAATTATAAAACTATCTAATCAAAATCCTCACTGGCATTATAAAGCAACCACTGCTTATAATCTAGAAGGGCCACTTTAGGTGCTCCTTTTACATAAGAGTTGCACCCTGTGGTAGTTTTAAAACACATCCATAAATTCTTTGATACTTTCTCTTCAAGAAGTGGAATGTCTCCCCTCCCTTGGAGCCTGGGTATTTAAAGACTACATTGTAACGAATATAATGTAGCAGAATTGATGACCTACTCTACCTATCAAGGGTAGGTCATAAAAAGACATTGGGGCTTCTGCCTCATTCTCTTTGGAATCACTTACTCTGGGAAAGTCAGCGCCCATGTGATGCAGACAGTCAAGCAGCCTATGAAGAGCTGACTTGAAGGACACATTTATTTCTTCTTTTCTAATCAAGATGATCAGTAGTTTTCCTTTTCCTTTTTCCTTTTGTTTTCTGGTAATGCTTTTCTGTGGATTTGGAATTCAAGTAATGCTGGCCTCAAAGAATAACTTTAAAATTTTATCCTTCTTTTCTGTTTTCTGTAATAGTCTGTGCCCAGAAATGGTATCATTTCTTCATTAAATATTTGATAGAATTTGCCAATGAAACCATTTGAGCTAGGAATTTTCTATCAGAAGACCTTTAACTACAAAGTCAATTTCCCCTATAGAGGTATTAAGGTTACCTATTGCATAGAAATCTGTCCATTTCATCTAACTTGTCTAAGTAGCACAAATTTGTTCATAATATATCCTTATTTTCCTTTTAATATCTGTAGGATCTGTTGTGATGTCTCCTCTTTCATTCTTGATATTGGCAATTTGTGTCTTCTTTTTCTTCATAAGTCTTGTATATATATTTATTACATTTGTTAATCTTTCCAGATAAACAACTTTTCATTGCATTGATTTTTCTTTATTGTTTTTGCTTACATTTTTATTAATGTTCTCCCTTTAAGTTTATTATTTTCTTTTTTCATCCTACTTTGGTTTACATTTGCTCCTCTTTTTCTAGTTTTTTTTCAGATAGAAGTTCAGTTGACTCAAAATAATGCATTAATAATCATCATTTAATATGAAACATAAAAGAGAAGTTTAAAATAAGAAAATTAAGAAAAAATATTAATACAGATTATTTTCCAAATCTTTCTCATATAAAACAGTACCTGGTTTGAGGCAACCCAAAGCTGGTTCCAATACCAACACGAGGTAGATAGTTAACTACTTTCTTTACTGTTGCAGGGTCTGGGAAGTTGAACATTACAGCAACTATGAAAAATAATTTTTAAAAGTTAGAACACAATATAACTTCCTTCTTGGAAAACTGACTTCTTGGTCTAATAAAATATTTACTCTTAATTCAGGTATACAATTCCTGCCATTTTACTTTTATTATAGTGCATACCAAGTTTTAGTATTAATATGCCTGAGGTAATATTCATTTTACTTATAAATACCTTAGCCATAGACAGTTCCTTCTCTAAATGCTGTCAGAAGTTCTAAAAACTATTGTTGCATTAATGTGACATGAAACTGAGATTAACTACATACATGTGTATGTTAAACATACATATCTGTGAGTTTCTATAAATACTGAAGTTTTAACTTTATATAGTTAACAATCTAACACACACCAAAAATACTACAGATTTAAGCACTAAATTGTCACTTACATTTATTTCCAATGATACACAGTTTAAAAGTTATCCTCCTTACAATTTTTATATGTTCATAATTTATATGTTCACATAATCCAGAACAATCTGTGACCTAAGGGAAAACTTTTCCTCTATAGTTAATAATCAAATTTAAATGTTTTCTAATCATCTCTATTTCAATAATACATTTTGAGAATATCAAGAAACACACATCATTATACATAAACATATTGAGTACATAAAAGTTAATTTACTATAGTCAGCTATAAATGTTTAATCTTCTTAAGAAATATGAAAATAAAGTCAAAATCATGAGAGAGAATTTAGAAGATATAAATTTGGACAGTCTTAAAATTTTAATTATATTATAATTTCAGTATCATAACCTCTAAGTACTCATCTAGAAAACGATCCTTCTTTGCTACCAGCTTTAAAAAAATTCTTCAGTCCAAAAAAAAATTATCAATTTGGTATAGCTTTAAATACTGACATTACCAACATGATTCAGGTAAATAAGTATATGATCATTCACTAAGGGCCCAAAACGTATTTGGAACTGTCATATATATATATCCAACATACCTTTTTAATAAGCCATCCCTATATATCCATTATTATATTGAATATAGGGGAAAAAACAACAACAACAGAAAAACTATCATAAGTTATGGCAGATAATGAAGGCCATGAAGGAAAGGCAAAAGAAAAAACACACATACAAAAGCAAGGACACATAAGAAATTTTAAAAGAGGAAAATATGAATGAGGACGAGCAAGTAAAAAATATTGTAAGATTGTAACAAAACCACTTTGGGACAGCAACAATGCAGGTTGAAATAAAGTGTGAGACATTCACTTGATTATTTGCCTGGAAGAATAATGTTTACATTAGGAAAAGAGGTATGTATAGGGGAGAAGATCAAATAGGAAAGGAAAAAAACATCTCTACCTAAAGAAATCTGTATTCTCTAAAAACACATGATTCTATAAAGGGAAAATAATGTGTATATGGAATATTCATGTAGATTTTTTTAAATGACAACTTGTAGATTACAGAAAGAGAAAATCAAACTTCAATCTACTTATATATAAGGAGTATGTACAATAAGTCACTAGGTTTTATATATTCTTCTTTTATGGCTCCATTCATACCCACCAATGCTTGTACTTCAAATTCACCTTGTCTCTCCTTCTTGTCTTAATAAATTTCACCAAGTTCCATTTTAAACCCACAAATTGAATTTTAGTTCTTTCAAGAATGATGTAATACAAAGCAACCAGGACACTTGAGTACCATTTTCTGATGGTCCCTTTATAAATGGCAATAGATTAGACAAAAGATTGAATAAATATATGAATCATTTGATTACCCTCTCCCCTCTCCAAATGCATCCACCTTCCAGAAGGAGTTTAAGTATCAGAGCAATATTGAGAACATCAAAATTCCATAACTGATTAAATGGTTAGTTACTCACCATATTTAGAAAACCGTGCACTAATCTGTGATATGGCCAGAAAACTAAAACTACTACAAATAATTCTAAGAATGACCAAGTGGGGAAAAAAACCATGAAGATGTATGTAGTTAAAAAAATGAGGCCAGTATGGCAGAGAGTAGACTATAAATTACTATCTAAATGGAAACAATATGGTAAGTTCAAAAATGAAATCGGAAAGAGGTGGAGGTTAGCTTAATAACAATATACTTCTGAAACATATTACCTCTGTTTGCCATAAAGATCTCCAAGGCTGTATTTTGCAAGAGATAACGACGAGAAAAGATTGATCGTATCTCTGTAAACAGCCATTTTCCATGCAGCCCTTCTGTATATGCCAGGATCTAGTGAGGAAAAAAATAAGCACAAGTAAGTAACAACAGTTTAATTTTTTCTTGTTGTTTTTCCCCCTGAATAAAACAGAAAAGACCCTATTAAAAATAATTTCTAAAAATTGAAAACAGTTACTGAAATAATTTGGAGGGAGACTAAGAAAATAGATTGTAACATATGGAAAGGAAGCTCAATGAAAAAGGAGAGCAAAATTATAAAACATCTCTTTATAAATATATTTTGGGCTTTTAAAAGCAGGGATGTAATATATTGCTTTTCAGGAAATACAAACTGCATTATTTAATGATTGGGTTTTTGGATCTTATTACAGAAAGTAAAATTTTAGATAAAAAGAAGAAAGACCGCAAAAGAATGCCTTACATGCTTATGGATCACATATACAATTCAGTTTCATATAATACAATTTTAATATATTCAGAAATACTTTTTTATGTTATATGAGGTTTTCAGGTTGGTTTGTTTTTTTTGTCTTGTTTTGTTTTGTTTAGTATAGTTGAAACACAATGTTACATTAGTTTCAGGTGTATAACTTAGTGATTTGATGAGTTTATGTATTATGCTATGTTCACCATAAGTGTAGCTACCATCTGTCCTGTTATATTGCTATTACAGTATTATTGACTGTATTCCTCATGCTGTGCTTTTTATTCCTGTGACTTATTCATTCCATAACTGGAAGCCTGTATCTCCCACTCCCCCTTCACCCATTTTACCCAGCACACCCCACCCCACTCCCCCAGCAACCATCAGTTTGTTCTCTATTTATAGGTCTGACTCTGCTTTTTGCTTGTTTATTCATTTGTTTTTTGTTTTCTTTTTTTAGATTCTACTTCAGAAGTATCTTTCATATACTTAAAAATATATATTTAGAGTAAATCCTAAGATTTCTCCTTGCAAGGAAAAATTTTTCCCCCTTTTTTCTTCTTTTTTGAAAAAACTGTATATGAGAAGATGAATGGATGTATTGTGGTAACTGTTTCACAATATATGTAAACAAAACCATCATGCTATATTCCTTAAGCTTATACAGTGTTGTATGTCAATTATTTTTTAATAAAACAAAAAAATTATATATATTCAAGTTTATAACTTTAAAAAATCACACTTTTAAGGTCACTGTTAAGGCAACAGTCACTCATTCAGAAAGCACAAAGACTGATTGTATGAGAGGTTAAGTATCATTTTGTCAGCTAGGCTAAACACAAACCTGCAAATGAACTCAACATAATCTCTCCATGGAGAAGGTGGTTGTCAGAGTAACTTGTTACAATTCTTGTCATCCCATGTGACAGACGCAGTAGCTTAGAATGCTTTGCCAACTCAAAGTAATCCTGTCTTTAGTCCTAAGCCACTTTGTTGCTTTGTTATTCAAGTTTTGTTTTTTAAAAAGTTCATTTCAAAAGCTTAATTATGAAGGTGTTAAAGGAAAACCAGATGTAGAATTTCTTACACCAGTACTTCACCTAATATTAATTTAATAAAGAAAATTAGATGTATTTGCTACCAAAACCTAATGAAAATCCCTGAAAGCAAACAATTAAGATATATCTCTCAAAAGCAACCACCATTAAGAAATACAAAATAGAATGACATGTAATTATGATATTGCATGGCGGGGACAAAGATGGGATAAGCAAGGAGAGGAAAAAATAAGAAGAAGAATTTACCCTACAAGAACCTTCTTTTCTATATTCATTTCCATTTCCTAGATCTTAAATGCAAAAATATCTATCTATATTCCTCAATGTAAAATGCAATTTCTTTGGGGAAAAAAAGCAACCTTATTGAGATTTTTCCACAAATTCTATTTTTGGCACAAAGGATCTAAAAACAAAAGAATAACTCCAAGTCTCAGTGTTTTTTGAAAAACAAAACAAAAATTCTAAGGGCCAAACAAACTTCCAGTTTTAAAACTGGTGATATAGAAATCTACCTTCATCCAGCCAATACCTGCATAAATAAGATCAGGAGAAATGAAAAGGAAAAGAGAGGACAAGACTGTAAGTCTTACACTCAAGATTTTTTGAAAGCAGAGGTTGCATGTACCTCTTTCTCTCACCGAGACCAGTAGGTCCAAGCGTCCAGAGCCTACAGTGGCCTGCTACTTGGTCTGTCTCCAATCTTACCTGTAGAGTCTACTATGACCAGAGGAGCCAAAGAAAAACAAATTTTTTAATAGAATTTTAAAATATAAATCAGATCACATCACTTATGCATTTAATGACCATCCAGTAGCATCCCACTACATGTATAATAAATACTGAAGCTCTTTATAATTGTTTATAAAGCTTTACATCTGAAACTCACTGATGAGCCCAATTCATTCTTCTTTGGGGTCTTTATACTTATTTTCTTGTCTGACTCCAATGTTCTCCCAAATCCTCACATGATTAGCTCACTCTTACATTAGATTTTTGCTCCAATATCACCTCCTCAGAGAAGTCACTGGATCTAAACCCCACTTCCTCCATGACCACCCCAAATTCAGCAGATTTCCTTCACAAGACTATCATTACCTGAAATTATGGTAACTGCTTGCTTGACTTTGTCTCTATTCAGCACTAGAATGCTAGACTATAACTTCTAAGAACAAAAACTTCTAGTATACTCTATTTGCATTTTCTAGAACAATGTCTGACACAAAGTAGATGTTTGTGAATGACCACATGAGTCAGTGAATGGCAACCTAAATTAATATATGGCCTTTAATATATGGCCCAAATTCATTTTGTTTGGACCATATATTTTAAGTATTAAGATTTCTGGTTTCTCAGGAAAAACTAAGTGTCAAACCTAGATCTATCTGCCACATGGTAACAATTGACATACACTTACCATTTTGGCACAGTCTCTACTCATTCATTCATTTAATATTATCTGTCCAGTTCCCCAATGGCATTTGAATTTGCCACCCTGGACTTATCAAGTAGGAGAGAATCCAGTATATTATCTGTAACACTTATACTCCAATCTACTATCCAATTATTAGTAAGGAAAATGAGAGCCAGAGAAATTAAATAGTTAATACAAAGTACCTTGGGAGTTAGTGGCAGAGTCTAGCCTACTTCCAAATTCTCTAATCCAAAAATACAAAGGTTACAATATATACACCACATTGTCACATTTGTAAAAAGGGGCTTAAATATTTGTTAAATTACAATTCAACTTAACAGAATTTTAAACAACTACATTTGTCTTCCTGTACTTGGGTTATAGGTGAAAGAGGGAAATCAAAGAAAACTAGAACAAAGGCTCCTCTAAGGTCTATGATATGCTAAGACTATCACACACTAATCTGAAAATTCTACTTTTTGTATCTATAAAGCTATATAATAAGACCTGTTGCTCATAATGGTGGCTTCAGTCATTCTAAGATCATGGCCATGCAACTAAACATTTAATTATATTCAAAGATACTTCAGTTTTTAATAAAAATAAGTATACTAAAACATTATAAAATTTTTAATGTACTGAAGGCTTTCTAATTAATAAAAAATTCAATTTATATCCCATTCCTTTAAGCAGTATAGTTATTAAAAAGTCTACTTGAAGTGGTATATTTCTTTAAAATGTTTTTATTACCAAATCAGTCACAACTGCAGAAAATTACATAAGTCCCATACTCATTACTCAACCATATAAAATCCTAACATTTTGCCATATTATTGCATATATTTAAAAAATTAATAAAGCATTTTAGATAGTGTTGAAATTCCCATATATAACCTTTCCTGATCCCATTTTCCTCCTTCGTCAGAGCCAATCACTACTCTTGTTTTAGCTTTATCATTCCCATGTCAGTTTTTATACTATTAGTACATATACGTCCATAAATAATATCCAGCATTGTTTTGTAAGTTTTCAAACCTGATCTAAATCAGGTATCATACTGAATGTATGACAGCAGTGTGCTTTCAAAATTAAATATAATCAGGTCTAGTGTGTTAAAACTCAGAGAAAAAGAAACAGGAGGAGAGACAGACAAAATTATTTAAAATTGCCATAAGTATCAAAAATTAAAATCACACACGAAAAACTAGCCTGACTTAACAAGAAGTAACAAATGAAATTCTATACTTACGGTCAAGATAGCTGGGTTTAAAATGGAAAAAAAAATCTTTTAACTAACAGAATTAGTAGCTGAAATTGATATAATAACATTTCTTTAAGGTATTCATTAGGAAAAGGTGTCAGTACTGAAATGCAGCTGAGGCCTAGCTAAGCAAGAGTTTTATTTCTTATTGGAATAGTATATTCCTGGTCTGAGGCTTCACTTCAAAGTCTCTAGAGTTCAATTAAAACTGGATTAGGTAGAAGCAGACCCTTCTTTGGGACTTTCTGTTCACTGAAACTCTACATACACTGACAGCACCCTAGACAGAGGTCTAGCCCTCCAATGAATCAGTTGCTATGGAAACCATATCATTACCATTGCTCTGCAGTTATGACCCTAAGTCTAGAATAGCTTGAAAGCTTAAGCCCACAGCACTCTTCGAATGTTTACCACCTTGTTTTAATATGGTTAGTACTGTTAATAGGTAAAAGTAAATTCAACATTCTTTTTTTATAATTTGTTTAACAAAGATGGTTTATTAAAATGTTGAGGTAAGAGAGGGAAGAAAGAAATCAGTATTTAATTTTAAATATACACACATACACACTCATCAAGTGTATATACCATTTCTTTAAATTAAAAATATCAAACATATCTTCTTTAAAATTTTTATCTGAAAATTGTGTCTTCTTTCAGGGATATATTATTTTGCCCAAATAATACACACAATGCTTTTTTCTATCTTTCAAATAATATACTGTGAATACATATAAAAATTTCTTCACCCTGTTGCATTTATTGGCTTGAAAGCAAATCATTTTTTCCACTTTCCTTTTAATCATTTATTTTGAAAAGCTAATGAATTTATTCAAATAAGACTTTTCTTTTGTTTGCTCATCTTCTGAGAGAAATAGAAATGTGTTTATTGCCCAATGG